TGGAAACGTTTTGTTTGTTTTACCATATCTCTGAACCATTCGTCAATACGGACAAAATATTGCTTTTATATATTTTTAAATTCGACTTCAATGAAATAATCTTCGACTTCCATATAGTTTTAATTTTCACAAAAGCGATCCATTCAGTTTTAAGTCTTTGATGGACGTCGTCAAGGCAGTTTGCAGTTTTAGATATAATGTTGCCAAGGTGTCTGAATCTACTAATTTCTGCAAAGGGGTTCCCCATAAAGAGTGATGGACGTAGTTTTTGATGATAGTTGTAGTACTATAGGTCAACGTTTCCCGCAGCTTTTGCTAGTTAATGTGTTTTTTTTTTTAAATTGCATTTGATGTACGGTGATGCTTAATAGGGGGATGTCATCCGCAAAATCCAAATCTCCTAAACACGTACCGTGTGTCCATCCAATGCCTGTTTCAATGTCTTTACTCTGTCTCATTACAAAATCGATTATACAGTTCATTTTTTAATACCATAAATTTCAAGAATTTTCTACAGGGCCTCTCGGTCTATGCTGTCAAAGGCTTTTTTTAAAGTCCACAAAGTTCAAAATAAGTGGGACATTCCATTATTTTCTTTGTTCTACAAGATTTCTCCAAACAAACAGTTGATCTGTACATGATCTCTCCGGTCGAAAACGCGCCTGTTCGTTTCTTAGTCTCTCATCTATTTGACGAAAGAGTCCGTTAAATGAGGGCGTCATTTTGGCTTCAACCACCAAAAATCAAGGCCATTTCGTAATGTTACTAAATGGAAATGCATTTTAAAATCTTTTGAAAAACATAGTTAAAAGAAGCTTTGGCATGAAATACTTTGTGAGGATGGAGAAAAACGGTTTACGAGTTGATGTCCTTACGAGTCTCAAATTTTTTTTTAAAATTGATTTTCAATATTTTCCGAATTTTCTCTGAATAAGCCCGTGTGACATGTGGACCCCTTTCCTAGTCACGCACACATTTTCCTCCCTTTACTCCTCGTCTGAAAAGATCTAGAACCTACTTACTGTTCCCCTCCACAGATGAACATTGGAAAACCATCCGCACCACCATCAGCCCAACGTTCAACACCGTCTGGCTAAGGCGGATGTACGGACACATTGAGAGCAGCACCAGACGTCTGTTGGATCACTTGAAGAAGAAACAGGAGAGGAACGAGCCGGTGGAGCTGAAGGAGGTCCTGTCTCACTTCAACATAGACGTCATCGCCAGCACGGGCTTCGGCGTGCACACCAACTCTCTCGAGAACCCGAATAACCAGTTCGTCAAAGAAGCTGAGAGAATCATGCGCAGCATAGGGCGAATCTTTTTTATCAGCACTTTCTTAGATTTCATGAAGCCTGTCCTGACGTTTCTCGGAATATCGAGCTTACCTCGAGCGTCCCTGGACTTTTTCTCTCGCTTCGTCGACGTGGCCATTCAGGAGAGAAAGCACGAGGGCCCTGGGGCGGGTTCGAAGAGGCACGACTTTCTCCAGCTGATGATGGAGGCGGAAGAAGACAAGCCAGGAGAGGAAAACGACAACATGACAGAGGAAGAGGCAAGGGCGCTCAACACTCACAGAAGAAGCAAGCCAGGGCTCAGCCTGGGCGACATGCAGGTAAAGATAAGACAACTTCTTCAGGTATCAGGCCTGGAGAAGACATTGACGATCATGGTGGTACCCCATTCCTTCCTGTTGTCCCTCTCCTTGATCAGCTCGGTTTTTTTGTCATTCTGTTGTTCGTTGCAAAGTTGTTCAGGCCATCAGTGTATGTTGTTCTTTGTCTATCTATCCTCTTCTTTCCCTCTATATTTCCATACAGCAGCAGTTACTCTAGTCCATTTGATCTATTTACGTGGCTAAAGAATCCCCACTGCTTTTTTCTGATGCTTCTGATTATAGATCTTTCACATTCTGCCATTTGGAGTACTTTTCTATTTGTTTTCCTCTCTGTCCATGAGATTCTATATGTCCTCCCCAAGGCATCATAGCATGGTAAGAACTGAGTCACGACACAGAGGAAGTGACAAGTGAGATCGGCACGAGATGAACAATGCCAACAGCTGCTGCCTCCAGGACTGTGTCCAATATTCCTGGTTCGGTTTCGTTCTCATTTACAATCTAGACAATCTAAAAGAAAAAGCGTTGCTCTGCAAGGGCTCATATTTTTCCATTCTTAATGTGGGTAGTTACGCCCCGCTCCCCCCAAAGAGAAAATCTACTTAAATTAGGAGGCGGGCATCTTCTGAGGATGTCACGGTCAACCCGGACTGAGAGATATACAGTAGCGTCCAAAAGAAACTTGAAAATGGATTACCCCGTCATCGTGTTAAAGCTCTGCACTACCCACTCATGCAGCATACCAATTTAAAGCTAACGAAATTCTGCATCTCCTGACACATTAATATATTATCTGTATTAAGGGACGCCCGAGATATGATCACTCAAACCTGACCTTAAATAAACAGGCTTGACACAATGTGAAATCAAAGAAATGTTAAA